GAGAAGAAAACAGTTCTGATGTCTACAAATATCGAAAATGACGGTCTACTACACCAAAGACCCTGAAGGGAGTTCTCCCCAAATCAGCAGCCTTTGACTCCCGAATCCAGAAAATCCTTCCCCGGTGAATGAGAAAGGGGGAGTCAACATCAAAATCCAACGCCACCGGATCTGCAACACTTATGACCTTAATGCCAATGCACAGGGTAAAAACTTGGTGATCAAGCTATATCTTTCAAAAGCTTATGACAAGATCGAATGGAAATTGTTTTATAATACTTTAATCAGGTATGGCCTTTTTGTGAAAAGCTTTCCCTGATAACAGCTTGCATTGGAAAGCCTGCCTTTTGTCTTAATTGATGGAGTATTGGTTTATTTAAATCCTCAAGAAGCCTTATGCAAGGTAACCTGCCATCCATTGGCTTTTTTCTCATTGTTGTTGACTATAATTGAGAAGGCATCTCTCAATTATTTATGAAATCACAATCTATGCATTTCAAAAGCAACAGTCCCATGCCAATTAGTCATCTGTGTTTTGTAAATGAAATAGTTATCTTTATCAATGATAATATCGTTAAAGTTAAAAATCTCCTAAATTTCATTAAAGATTGTGATAATGTCAGTAGAGTTTTATTATTAGAAAAAAATTACTTTACTCCAATACATATTTTTTAATAGTAGACTTCAACTAACTTTTAGAGACAAAATGCAAAACGAGTGTATACATGAAAAGGTTGGAGTAGGGTGACAAATAAGATTATAGAAAGTTGCCTTGGATGGTTTGGTCACATAAAACGTCGATCTTCTGATAACTCAGATAAGAAAGTAAAAATATTTTAGATTTGGCCTATGTTCAGAAAGGTAGAGATGGACCTAAAAAAATTTGGTTATAAAGTATTAGAAACAATCTTTTTTTATTAGATTTAAATGAAAATTTTGAATTTTAATAGAGCACAATGGAGAAAAAATATTCATTAGACGACCCCATGTAGTGGGATAAAGACTTGACGTTGTTTTTGTTGTAAAGTACTTGAAGGAACCTGCTCTTAAGAGTAAGAAATGAATTTTCCATTTTGATGATTTGTTAAATAATATCTAAGATAAGCTCTCAATATAGGGATTTAAAATTATATCCCTTGGTTAGTAGGTCGACCTTATTAAAGTATATTATTCCTATTTATATTCTTCACACCACGAATCCTCCTTATGCTGTGACTAATAGAATTGAAAAGTTTTTTTAACAAATTTCTTTGGAGTAGTTCTAGTGATCATAAGAAAATACAAGGATTTTCATGGAAGGAAAAATGCTTTCCTTTAATGGGCATGATTAAAAGGTAGTGTGAGGGTTATAAAATTGAAAGAATGGATCCAAGCTTCCTTTATTAAGCTTTGGTGGAACTTCAAAACAAAATGAAAGTCAATAGGTTAACTTTATGAACATACTGTGATGGGATCCACCCTTTCTTGGCCGCTTACAAAATGAGGGATTTCCCTTTTTGGAAGATATTTTGCAATATCAGAGAAGTGGTTGAGAAATTCATAGCTTGCGGCATATATTACAGAAATGTTTTCTTCTAGCAAGATATTTGGGTTAAAGTAGTCTCTAGGATCTCATCTGAATAACTCTCATGATATTTCTAATAAAGTCAATCAATTTTTTTAATGAGAAAGGATGAATTTTGTAAAATAGTGCATATTTACTACCTCAACATAGAGCCCAACAAACCACTTACATCACCATTACATCTACAGATAAAGATATCATCAAATTTAGAGAATCAAGTAATGTTGAATTCTTAAGCTATCTAGAGTACTTTAGGAGGGAAAAACAAGTTTTTATATTTAAATTTTTGTGGCATAAGGGAATCCCCTTGGCTATATCTATTTTTTATTGAGGATTTGAAGGGATTAATTCAAATGGATGATTCAAAACATGAGCTTTTAAATTGCTTCTATATGACTGATGTCAAGCAAATATTATTACATTATGTTTTATAAATGATTCTATCGTGTTTGAAAGTTAGAATTAGTATTCTAAAATTTTTCAAATTCATATACACAATCTAGGCTCTTTTGCTTATTTGCTTTGTGTAGAATCATTTAAAGACGGCTCTTCCTAAAGGGCACCTTGTAATCCTTTATTCCAATTTACATTTTTTTGGTTCATTGGGTTGGAAAGGAATTATTCAAAATATAGAGGCTCAAGCTTAGTACTTCTAGAATTATAATTAACATATATGAACATATCAAATTGCACTAATCTATCAATCTTGTTTCTGAGAAAACTTAAAAAGGGAAAGATCTGAGTTGCCATTATTTTGGTATCATAAAACTTGCATTGGAGGGTAAGAAGGTGAGACAAGTGAAATGCCCAAACCTCTTATGCTATTAAACTCAATGTTGATGATAGTGCCAAGGGGAGTTCAGGCCCTATTGCTAGTGTTGGGGTCTTTTAAGATAGTAATGGTGAGCTTATTATGGCTTTTGTTATTCCTTTGGACATTCAAAATGACTTTAGAGCTGAGTTACTCTTATACTTGAAATTTGACATGAGAAAGTATTTAATCAACTTCTAATTCAGATGTATGTCTTAACCTCATTCATATTATACTCTCTAACAAAATAACTAACCTTGGCAGCTTATGCTTGATTAGAAGAGCAAGAAACATATTACAAAGTTGAAATTTTAGGCTAAGTCACAACCATCGAAGATTGAATGGTTATGCTGATAAGCTTCCAAATAAAGGGGCTAATTTGAATACCAAAATTACATTTCTCCCTCATTAAATAGCAACCAAACTGAGATCCCTATTCAGGATGGATGTATGGGTTTCCTTCCTTTAGAAACTCTAAAGAGCTTCATCACCTATAATGGATTGGCTCTTCATAATTACTTCATTCCAACTTACCCCCTTTCTCTTATCTTAAGCATATTAATTTTGGTGGAAAATGAGACCCCGGTAGCATAGTTTCAACTGCTCACCCTTGCTTTTGGTTTTGGTCCCGGATATGAATTTGTTTTTTATTACCTAGTTAATTCCTTTTACATTTCTTGGCTTATTAATAAAAAAGAAAAATATATGAACTTTCACAAGGCATACTTAGAGGCATTGAATCAACAAATTCGGAGCATTTCTTGGCTTATTAATAAGCCTTTGCCTATTGTTGGGCTTTATTTCAATTAACATATGTGGTTTTCAAACAATAGAATTTTGGTGAGGGGTTTTGAAAAGAGGGAACAATTGCATCTAGTTGTTACTTTGGATAAGCTTTGGTAGCCTTTCACACCACTGTATTAATATCTCAAACTTTGTCAATACACCATATGTTTTGGGGGTTGATGGTATACTTAATATGGTAATGGATTGGTCGCTGTGGGATCTAGAATGGCTACAAATATGATTTTTTTGTCATTTTTTGTAGTTTTAAGCAGGTGTTATTTTTATAGCAGTTTTTTCAAGAAATTATGAGGTGGGAAGATATAACCATGTGGAAATTAGAAATGAATTTCTGATTAGTTGAAAGTATATTTATAGCCTCGTGAATTTTAATTTGTTCCAAGTTTCAAATATTTTACAGCCTAAAATCATAAACACTGGGAGGATCACTCAATATACCCTTTTATATCTACAAGCCCATCTTGGTTCTATTCAGGTGGTCTACAATATTTGAAGTATCTTAAAGATCCTATCATAAAACACTAGGGGCATGGCAAGTGGGACTTCAACTCGTTAATTCTCAGATTTTTCCTTGTAATTTTCTTACCGACTTTTATAGCAGTCATTTATAACTGCATTTTTCCTTTTTTTTTGTAAATGCGTGTGGTTTGTTCTCTTAGGTCAGGGTATGTAGACAGTTGAAAAAAGCCGGGAATCATTGCACTCAATTCAAACTATTTCAGGAAAAAAGATCATCAAAGGATCACTAACATTAATTTCTATTTTTATTCCAATAAAAATATAATATGATTGTTTTCTTATTTGAAAGATTTCAAATTCTTTTTTGGAATTCCTCTTCATGGCTTTCCTTGATTGAGAGATAACCTCAATGAAGACTTTAATATTAAGAGGATCCATCCGGATGACTTTCCATAATGTTTGTAAATTCTATTCTATAAATCACGGAGCATGTAAGGATTAAAATAATGCTAGAATATAAGCATTATAAGCAGTTTCCTTCCTCCTATTGTGGGAGATAGCCTACCTCTCTCCTCTTTCTTTTCCTTTCTTGCTTGCTCACCCATATTCTCTCTCCCCATTCTTGATCCTCTCATAGACCGATTTATTTTCTCTCTTTATCAAAAGACCAATCAAGAATAAAAAATTCCACACATGCACCAACAGAGTGTCTTTAAAATCATGAAAAATCATCTATTCGCTTGATGAAAAAATCCACGAGAAACCATAAAAGGAAATAATATTCAACAGTAGAAACATGTGCATGTGAATAATTGCTTTTTCATGATTTTATCATTAAAAATCTGAGAATTTGCTTTTATCCGGAAAAAGGAACAATGAAAGATATATTTTACCACAGAATCACCATGTAGAACAGCTTAAACAGAGAAATAGTGTGACATGAAACATTACGGAGAACTTGGAGGAACAAAAAATTACTGCAACCCAAAAATAATCCATATCTAAATAAAACTAAGTCTTAAAATACTAAAAATTAAAAAAATGATATGAAATAATAAATGATAGTCAAATGAGAGTTAATGTATGCATATAAAATAACAGTTTTTTTTTTAGATGCTTCAGAGATAAAATAAGGACTTGGACAAGATTATATACTATGGCACTTTGCATATAGACTCATTTACATTTTAAGTGACTTAATCAATGCGGGTTAATGTACTAATATATTTTGATAGCATAATGGTTTCAAAGCATCAAAAAACATCATAGGATGCAACAAGCATCATCAATCCACATCTAACCATTATACAGAAAGCAAAGCATCAATTTTCTATATAAGAACATAACAGTGTAAGGGCGTACCTCCAAACAACGCTCCAAAAGCTGTCTACTCCTAGCATAATCTCCATTTCTATAATGTCCAACAGCTAAAAGATACAATTTCTCTCTTGTCTGTAGAGGGCTGGAAGAACTATCCAAAGAAGCTGTGATATAGCAATATTGTTAATCATAATTGGTAATCAAAAGATTATAACAGTAACCAACAACACCATATATAGAAAGTAAGCGAAGAGTTAGCCATAAATTTACAGATTAGAAATTAGTAATTGCATTATGACCTTCAAGCATGGCTATCCCGCGATTCACATCTTCGGTTTGCCTAGAATGAACAAGAGCCCAAGACAATCTCATAAGACTTTCATTCTTATTCTCAGCATTTCTTGCATTAGCAACCTCCTTCTCACAACCCTGCACAAAACAGTCCAGAAGAATGCGAAAAGAGTTGTGCATGACAGTAGCTAGAAGACATTCAGAAATAAAGATGCTGCTTGTATCTCAAGAAAATTTTAATATTTGAAATGCGATGCTCAATTATAATTCTTAATGCTCTTCTGCTATCACCCAAATTCATCATAAAAGAAAATCAATTTTAATAAATGATGTTTGAATCAATGTCTTATACATTATTTTTATGTCAAGACAAATAGAATTCCACAATTACCGATGGCATGCAGCATGAATATTAAGCCAAAAAATCGAGAGATAATACCAAAACTGTAAAAGTTATCTAGAGATTTAGCTTTGAACTCCCTGCATTTCATCATAGACGGCTGAGAACTAGAAACAGAACTGCAAAAATATACGGCTTATAGAAACAAATGAATTGCAAAAAAAACATGAAATTACACACATCTATGCTCAATACTCAAATATAAAAACAGGTAAAACTATTAATAGGTAGAAATTGACTTCAATGCATTTGACTGGTAAAAACACCCTAACAAAACTGAAGACCCAGCAGAGCTTCCATATATTAAAGCTAATTAAAGGAATTAATAATTTTTGTGTAGAGAAGTTAAATAGGCAAATTAGAACACCTGAAAATAAAGAAAAATTATCAAAAAGAACCCCTAACTGTTTGTGTGGCCCATTTTAATTCCAGACTATATAAAATACCTAATTTAGTCCCCGGTCTCTTTAAACAAGGACCAAAATAGCCTTGCCATCTAAACAAATGAAAATTGAAGTTAATTGTGTTAAAAAATAAGGGTAGTTTGGTTATATGCAAATTTTCCTAGAATTATTTTGTAAATCCAATTTTCTACTTCTCATATTTTCACACATATAGCAGCTAACTTTGTGAAGTAAGTTTTCAAATCTTTACATAGTGGTTTTATATTATACTAGAAATATTCTTATAAGATGAAATATTAAAATAGGTATTTTTATTTAAAATAATCAAATTTAATCTTTTATATGATCAATTTATTTATGTTTATTTATTTCAAACAAGTTAAATAATAAAAAACCAAATGAAAATAAAAAATGTCAAATATTAACAAACATGAATAATAAAAAATATCAAAATTGTTTGCATAAACTTAGTTGGAAAACTAAAAATTACTATAATAAAATTTCAAATCAGCTCGAGTCACATTAATTATACTCATACTCAAGATTGTGAAAATCAGATTAAAGAAAAAATCGGAAGGAAGAGAGTTTCAAGGTTCAATGGTTCGATCGGGATTGAACCAGATGATGTAATAAATATTAAAATTATTTAAATAATATCTAAATGACAATAATTATATAATAATCATGCGATAATGTAAATTTGTAACTAAAAGTAAATAAAATTCATACAAAATAAAATATTCCATAATTTTAAATTTAAACACATTTAATCATTAAATTTAATTCACATGTAATATAAATTTAGTTCACATAAAAATTTAAAAATTTAATATAAATCATTACAACAACAACAACAACAAGCCTTTGTCCCACTATGTGGGGGCAGTTACATAAATAATTTTTCGCCATTGTGTCCGGTTAAAAGTCAAAGTCTCATTTAAATCTAATAAAGAAAAATCATTTATAATATTTTCTAACCAAGTCTATTTAGGTCTACCTGTACCTTTCTTAACATAAGTCAAATATAATACCTCAACTTTTCTAACTTGGTCATTGGAAGGCCTCCGTTTAATGTGACCAAACCATCTAAGGCGACTCTCTCTAATATTATCTTCCACCGGAGCTACTCCAACTTTTTCATGTATATGTTCATTTCGTATCATATCTCTAAGGGTCAAATCACTCATCCACCTAAGCATCCTCATCTCTGCAACACTTAACTTAGTATTAGGCTTCTCTTTTAAAGGCCAACATTCGGCACCATAAAGCATTGCAGGTCTCACCACCATCATATAGAATTTTTTCTTAAGTTTGAGGGAACTTTTCTATCGCACAATAAGCCCAATGCATTCCTCCACTTCAACCATCCAACTTGAATTATGCTGATAATATCCCCATCAATTTCACCATCACTCTGAAATATAGATCTAAGATATCTAAAACGTGTACTCTTATTAATGACTTGATCGTCCAAAGTCACAATCCCCTCACTAGGTTATTGCTACTAAAATCACACTTCATATATTCATTTTAGATCTACTCAAGTGAAAACCTCTAGACTCTAAAGTTGACCTCCATAATTCAAGTTTCCCTTCAAATCTCTCTCTAATCTTATCAACAAGAAGAATATCATCAGCAAAAAGCATATACCAAGGTACATCCTCTTGCAAATGTCTAGTGAGAACATCCAAATTTAATATCAACACTGTCGTTGCCAGGTCTCAAGTCCTGGATGGATGAGAAAAATGGAGGGTTGCATTAGGTAGTCGACAGGTAGCGTAAAACTTGTCGAATAATCATGACATGAATACTTTAAAAAATTAATATAAATCATTGTTGATTTATATGTTATATTTAGATAAAATTTACACATACATATTGTATATTAAATTCACATCATTAAATTACATCTAATAAATTCATGTTAGATCATTTATAATTTAAAATAGATAAAAATTAGTTTTTTATATTGTCTAAATAAATAAATAAGATAAAAAACTAAATATTATTAGTCATAAAATAAATATTCTTCACATTATAAAAAACTAATTAAAAATATATTATGTATGTGTTGTGAACTTGAGAACTTCATCATAGTTATTTAGTTCCACATCACTTGAAAATTTCGTTATAGTATTATCTAGATAGCTATTTTTGTTTACATGAGTTAATAAGTCACATGGGATGGTAAGGTAATATGAAACAAATAAGTTAAGTTCAATGGAAATAAGGAAAGTTGAAGGAAGGCTAGAAAACCCTGTGCATGCAATATTCCCAAAAGTTTTGCTTATATATGTTTTGGCTAATAGCTAAAACCAAGGCATAGAAAACCTGTAAAATCCAGATTCACAGCATGGTGAAAAGACATGCGTCAACCAAATAATAACGCGATCTAAAGCCGATTGAACAGCTATAAAGCCACACATCGAAAGATGGATTCGAAATTGAAAAAAGTCTGCTGCATCGGACATAGCAGAACTGGTGATTATAGGATGCCCTAATCTACCAATTTCCATGGCCCAAAACCGTGGCCGCAACCAATCAAAATCAGTGTGCAAAAAATGGCGTATACAACTAGGAAGGCCTGGTTTGGAGAAGGGAAGAGGGAAGGTTGTTACCGCAATAATATCACGATCGCACCACGGGATGTTATCGCTACCGCTGAAGAAAGAACTAACAGAATCGAAAAAACTCATGATCTTGGCATCCATGGCCGTTCCTTCGTCTTCTCTCTCCACGAGAAGATAGGTTTTTTTATTTCTTGTTTCCCTCTGAGAGTATAGCGAGCCTGCCGAGACAACCGGAGAACTTGATCGGTAAGAAATAAATACTTACTAGGTTTAAATGGTTTGGAAGGCATTGCCTCTACACGGAGAAAAGGTCAAAGGATCGGCATAGGATTGAAAACGAGTTGAGCCCGGCTAGATGAAAAATTATTCTGTGCTCATTAGCTCATAGAGTTTGGTTCACAAATTATTTATCGAGTTGAGCTCGAGCCGACTCATAATTCTACTTGACTCACTTACACCCTATAATACCCACTAAGCATGTGTGCAATTGCACCTGATCTCACCCGATCAGGTAAGAATAATGTAATAAAATTTCTGCACATCTTTCTCTTGTATGTATAAATGAGTGTTTTGTATGCATGAGAATGTCTAAAATTATTCTAGAGTGGGTTCCAAGAGTCTATGTGCATGAATAGGAAATATGGAGTTTTTCCCTTGGAGCATCGCAGTGCTCGATTTGGTGATGTTGCATTGGTGAGCTCTCTATCTTTTTGGATTTTATGATGAATGTTGTGGCACTAGTTTTTTGTTTTTTTTTAAATGCATAAAGCAATTGCATTAAAAAAGAACGAAGCTAATACAAGCTAATAGCATCACACTCCTCCTTTAATAATAGAAAAAAAGGAGGAATGTGATCCATACTAAGATAAACCCAAGAAAAATTACCATTATGAGCATAGTTAGCACTCATATCTGCTAACTTATTGCTCTCTACAAACATGTTTGAAAATAACAAAATTAAAATTTTTAATAAAGGAAGATAACCTTACATCAATCTTCGGTTTTTTTATTATTGTTGATATTGCTTTGAATACTTTTAATCACATTTTCATTGTCTCCTTCAATGATAATCCCTTTGTATTGAGAAGTCCAATCCTTGATTATACCATGTAGAGAAAAAATGGCCTCTAATTCAAGTTGAGCAATATCCCAATGAATTCCTTTGATACCCATAGCAAAAAGAAACCTTCCTTGGTGATCACGGCCAACAGCTCCAATTCCAGCATTATAGGAAGGTAAAAATGAAGCATCAAGGTTAATTTTTATCCAATCAGGTGGAGGAGGATGCCAAGAATTTTTAAACAACCTAGATGGTTGATTAACATCCCATAGGCCCGATTTATTTCTATTAGAAATAGAAATTGAAGTCATACTAAGAGCATTAGTTGTGGCACTAATTTGGGCATTACAGTGTCATGCTCTCTGTTGAGAGCGCCACAGTGCCAATTAAAAAAGTTAATAAATATTTCTATTTTCACTCAATTTTCGCTTTGACAAAACCAATTTGTAGGCACATTAATGGAAATCTCAGTATCAATAACATGATAATCTTACTAGCAGTAGGGGACTTAATAACTAACAGTTGAGCTGAGTGTTTTTATTATTATTATTAGTTTGGTTTGAAGATAAAAATATGATCATGGAGTACAGTTATAGAGGAAATTAATATGGGTTTAATAGGTAAAAGTTTAATAATTTTGTTATTGTTTGAACATGTAATTATTGTTGCCACCATAGTAGATAAAACACTAATATCATACAATCAAGATTAACCTGAAGGGATGTCTACTATGGTTATAAGTAGGACATCGCACCAAATTCTACCCTCATAATCATCCATCTTATGTGGGACTAGATATTTACTAGTATGGGAGAGTGGTATGGTTCACCCTACTCACATGGAAAGGGCTCATGATGTGGTTTAGGCTTGAATTTAGCCTTTACCATTTCATTTTTGTATATCACATTCAAACCACTCTCATCATCAACTCTACACTATCTCACTTACACAACACAGTATTTTTTGTCTTACAATCATTTATCTCACCCCCAAAAAATATGAAACTTCTTATAACTCCAATATAGTTAGTCTCATCTAGCTCAATATCCTCTTCAAATAAATGAGTCTCATTCAAAACTTTCTCATTATCATCATCTTCTACTAATCTTAACTCATCTAAAAAAAAAGATTTATGGCTTGCAGTCATATATCTTATGTCTCTTCTTATGACAATTAAAACATATGGTTTTCCAATGTTCTTATAACTCCTCTCAATAGGAGCTTAGCACTATGTAGCCACTAATTATGGGTTAGGCATAACAATAGGCCTATGGGTAGGATTCAAAGTGGTCTAACTCTTGACTTTAGGAAATGAGGTAGCCATCTTTTTATATTCCACCATAGGGGCATAGTGGTAAGCATTCTTCAATATGTGAGGGGTCAAACATCCCTACCTAGCTATCTCCTAATGTTCATCCTAAGATGGATAAAAGGTTTTTTGGCCAACTACCAATCAAAATCTATACCGTTGGTTCTAAAATTTAACCTAAAAAGTGTTGAAGTAGTTAATAACATGAAGGAATCCCTGCCTTGGGGTTAAAAGTTGCCCATATGATATTTTTTTATTATATCCTAGGCAATACTTAGCTCTAAACATCTTCTTCATCTCTACCTAAGAAAGATTCTTTCTTTTAAATCTATGTTTTTTTGTTACATGTTGCCCAATAAATATTTGCATAGATTGTGAGTTTCATCCTAACAAAAGTAACCCTTTAATTATCGCCCATCATATGCCACCTATGGGAAGCGAAGTTATAAGTGGATTCAAGCATGTCTCCACATATCCTGGACAGGTGTGAAAATGATCAAATTGAGGTATAATTGAAAGTAGAGTTATAAGCGTACATCATGGCATGTGCATGAATCATGTTTGCATTAATTGCATAAGTCATGTGAAAGAAAAAATATTATTTTAAAAAAAAGTTCATGTTATTGATATGTAGAAGTGAAAGATCATGTGATTTATATGTACAAGTTCAAGGATTGATCAAGTTTATGTTAGTTACAAAATCATATGTTGTTGCTTTCAAAATTGGAATTATGTAATATTATCATGCTTTCTTTATTAATAATCAAGTATGAAATTAAACTTATGCATAATCATCATCTTGCCTAAAATGAATTGCAAAAAACTTATTACTTACTCCTCTGATATTAAATTTAAATAAAGAATATTTAATATTTTAGTAAGACCCGAAAGGCATAATAAGTAATGAGGCTTGCTCACTCTATACATTCATCAATTATTTCAGGGAATGGTAAAAGTTCTGTTGAGTAAAATAGAAGTCAATAAATTCATAGAGAAGTTCAACTAAAAGATTTTTTTTTAGTCCAGTCATTTATATTTTCATGCATAGAAGAATTATTATGGATTATTTGTATATAATTCTTTTTTAAAGAATATATGGAATTGAACATTGATGAAGGTTTATATTGTTCCTTTGCATTTGAAGATGAAATAATTAAAATTATGATTTAATTATTCCATTAGACCCTCTGTTATGATGTATAAGAACTTTAAGGATTTGTAATGGAGCTAGTGCAAGCTAGGCCAGGGTGCCTAAATTGAGTTTATTTTGGTTATTGTTGAAATATGTGATTGGAGGATAGTTCTAATAACTTTGGGGAATGAAAAGACTTGAATATGTTAGAGTGGTGTGTGAAGATCATCTTTAGAGTTTTTTGTGAAGTTCTAAAGAGTTTGAATGTTGATCAAAGGATGAGAACACTACTAGGTTAAAAGGTGTCCTAATTTTGGCCCATTTTTATAAGATGCTTAGGGATTTTTTCTAATACTTATCTGGATTTGCGGGAGATTAGTAATATTTGTGGTCTATATTAGAGATCATTATTGCACTTTGAATAGGCACATTAATGGGATTTGAGGTCACACCGATCAAATACTTTCCTCAAAGCACAAGTGAAGCAAGTTGTGGTAGAGATAGCATCTTCGCTCAGATAGCCAATCTTAGAGAGGAGTTTAGCGCATTTCATGATGAGATGAAACATTTTATGCAACAATTGCAGATGAATCAACCACCCATGGAGGATCAGAAATGGTATAAAAAATTTGTGTAATTTTAATGTAAATTATTTAATTATAAGTATCTCATTATCTTCATACTATTTTCCGGCTGGCAATGACAATTCATATGATGTCTGACGGTCCATTAGAAATTTAACTTTGTTTAGTTGATGAATTTTGGTATTTCTTATGATGCTTCTAGTTGCATGGATATTTTATGTATTTTGAAACTTATGGTGTTTTGATTTTGAACTCTGGTGGTTCTTGTGACTTTGGTATCTTGGAACTTATGATGTTTTGAATTTGGTGTTTTGATTTTAAATTCTAGTAGTTCTTATTCAATGGTATTACTATGGAGGGGTTATATTTAGCATTTTTTCAACATTTGATGAGTGGATTTAGTGTTCGTGAACCTTTTTTTTTTTCTTATTGAACTCGATAGTGTGCAAAATAATTGCAAGATGCTCCCATGGGATGCCTTCTAAGTTTGGAAGATGAAGCTTCCTGTATGTTAGATGGCGAACAAAAACTAGTTTTTTTTTTTAGTTGATGTTTAAAGCCATCTAGTAAATGAATAATGACCTGATTATGAAATAGATAAAAGCATATGTTGCCTTAAGAGAGTGGGAGATTTGTGCTGAATATTTGAATATCAAATATTTTTTGCATACTTGGCAATACATTTTGGTCTGACAAGTGAATTTTATGTTTATTCTCATACTTTGAGTTCAATAGGGTACTTAGAAGTTAGAACTGAAGGGCATTGTGAATTGATTTAAAAAGAGAAATAAGACAGCCTATGTGTTTAAGTTTCCTAGATTATCTTGATTGGTTGGTGATATACTAGCTCGTATATATCGGAATAGTTTTGATTAAATAGTTGTTGATGTATATGTATATCGAATCAATGGTGGTTCTGTATTTTAAATAAAAAATTATGGACTATTGTGGCGGTTATAACCGCCACAACAAAACAGAATTGTGGAAGTTAAAACCGCAATATTAATGGAATCATATTACTGGAAATCAGTCTATTTTGATGATATTAGTGGCAGTTATAACCAGTACAAATTTGTAGGTTTTCACCGGTTATGACCGTTGCAAAATCTAGCGCTTCATCGATTCTACCTCTCCGATCCAAAAACCGCTACGGAATATTGTTGCAATGCATAACAATTACAGTGGAAGTGCAACGGTTTTAAAACTACTGCTAAATAAATAATGGAGGTTATAACCATCCGAATAACTCAAAATAGTTATGTAGTAGCCGTATTGGTTGGTAGTGACATGATGTAGGGCATTAGTGATACATGTATATGATAATTCTAACAAAACTGATATAAGGGAATACGATACATATAAATTATATGATATATATGATACATTGTATTGTATACATTCAATTTGTAAATGATATAATATATGATATGCATACCTTAATACTATACAATATGCATAGAATAGAATATATATAGAATTCTTAGTTGATATAATAGGTATACTTATATATATGAAATGATATATGAAATGAATTGAAATATCATTTATTGACATGTATAAATTTATAATAGAACTACTGTGTTATAACTTAGCATGGGTATAAGAACAAAAGAACAATCTGATCCTTTATATGGATATTATTCACTGATCACTAAATCTTAATTATATTGCTTTTAATAATTTATATTCCTCATATGAAATGATGCTATTCATATTGGTTGTCACATGATCTCACAATTATATATTTATACTTATCTCGTTTGATTGGTTACGTGCATATTGTTTTTATTGACCTACATTGATTTAAATTATAAGTACTTATAACATACTCAGTCGTTAGCTCACTATGTGATTTTTATATAATTTCAAAAATGATGCAGGATTTAGTAGAATGAGACAGATTAGGTTTTACAGGTTTATTTTGTTTGTTTTTGTACTTTTATTTTATTCTTTCGTAACCAGGAATGATAGGAGATGGATTGATGCTATAGCATATATGAATTTTGAGGAATGAATATAGATTGTTATGATATATATGATTTATAATTGTTGTGGACTGTAATATACACGACGCTAGAATGAAAAATATCGTCTTAGCAATATATGTATATCTAGCACACCAATAGATAGTTGAGAGAGAGAGAGACAGCAGAAACTTTTTTACGTGGAAAACCCGAAAAGGGAATAACCACGGGGCCTGGCCCAGATGAGAAAATTTTACTATGTCTGGGTTGGCTACAAAGTTTGATTTGCTTCTTTACTTGGAGATGTTGGAATTACAATATGTTAATAATCAGACTAAAATCTGGCAATGATAGATCATAAATGAACTGGAGGAAGTAAGGCAGTAGCTGAGAAGAGCTTCAGTGATAGTCAAGAAAAACTCTAGCAGTTGTCAGAAAGAAAACTCCAACGACAGTCAGGAGGAACTCCGGTGGTGGTCAGGAGGAACTCCGTCGATGGTCGGCAAGAAAACTCCAACGACGGTTGGGAGGAACTCCAGCGCTTGTCGAGAGGAACTCCGACGATGGCCGAGAAGAACTCTGGCGATGGCCGGCAAGAAAACTCCAATGAAGGTTGCGAGGAACTCCAGCGGTGGTCGAGAGGAACTCCAGCAGTGGTCAAGAGGAACTCCGACGGTGGTCGAGAGGAACTCCGACGGTGGTCCGGAGGAACTCCGACGATGGTCGGCAAGAACTCCGGCGGTGGTCGGTGGCAAGAGAGCTCCCAAACTTCTCCCTTCTTCTCCTTCTTTTTTCTTCTTTTTTCCTCCCCTCTCATGAGAAGAGTGGGGGCTATTTATAATTTTTCGATAGTGGCATGGCTTGTAAATATATGGATGATCAAGGTCAAAATGGGAGTGATTTTAATTGACGACTGATATTGATCCCCTTGATCGTGGACTGTTTAATGGATTTTTGAAAGCCTTAATGATATCGAAATTCAGTGATCTTGGGCTCGTTGGATTCATCTCGTCAAGCTGCTCGATTCGACTATAAGCATGTCACAATTTGAAATTGTTTGGTAATTCAAATTATGGTTTGAATCTTCTAAATGCACTTTGGGTCCTTGATGTGGACTCATTTGGGCTCGGATTAAGTCGAATTTGGTGTCGTTGGGTTTGTATTTATGAAACGTTCAGTTCGACTACGAACCATCTAAAATCAGAGTTCAGATTATCCCCATTTTAATTTTTGAAGCCTCGATCTCGTATATTACATCAAGATTCGTGTCCGATCAAAATTAATTTTTTGTTACATATAAATAATCACTTCTGATAATTTTTATTTATTTAAATAATATTAGTGGCTTTAGCAGATGAATTAAAAGAGGAAAGATAATTTTTTCAAATTTAGATGCACATTACAATATACAAGTGATGCAATAGGAAAATATTATGTTGCATTGTATATAAGCAATGACTACAATTTTTCAAATTTAGGTCGGGATGAATTGTATATAAGCAATTACTACATTATGTTGAATACTTGATTAACTTAGTTTGACTCAGGGTCAACCTAGTTTGAATAAGACTACTATTTAGAAATTAAAAAAAAAAAAAAGGTATTGGAAAATATGAGAAAATATATTTTGGTTTTGAAAAATTAAGCCAATGCAGTTAACTCAAAATGATTCGTTCAAGTAACTACAAAAATTAAAAGCTATTTAAATTATTTTTCATATTTAATAATTTAAATAATATTTATTTTTATTTAAATAATAGGAAAATACCCTAACTAAGGCTTCTTTTGGACGACTTTCTAACTATTTCGAAAAGCAAATTTTTTACTAAAAAACTGTCCCAAAAGAAGCTTTAGACTTTGGGAGTAATTCTTAAAACAAATTTTCATGTGGGCAACTTTTTTATTACTTCTTAAAATAAAATTTTAGTTAAAAATTTTAAATTTTTACTAAAACTCTGTCTTAAAAAATCAATAAAAAAATCAACCCAAATAAAACCTTAAGCTTCATATGAAATAATTTGTAGCCACTGCATTCAAAAAAGACATTTCTAACAAAATTTTAATGATTTCTCCAATCTGCGTATTTCCATGGATTATAAGTTCATCAACAAACTGAAGCTAAAAGTTTTGTCAATAAAAAATTAAATTTACTAGATTTGATATCTATGATGCCTGGCATAATATTATTTCATTCTACTCAAAATCAAATACCAATTGTTTTGTTTCTATACATTATAACGATCAAGAAGCATATCTTATAACAGAACATCATAAAGCTCAGCCAAACACATTACCTGTCAAATTCCTTCACAAATACTGCTCATAGTTTCATGAATCAAAGCAGCCATTGTTCCATTTTCTGTGCATATAGTAGTTTCAGTCCCGTTTGTTTCGACCGTTGCCGTTTCAGACACTTTGATGCGAAGAGACTGAGTATCTTTATCTAAAACGGTATTCTCATTCTCAATTGAGCAATCTATTCCCTTCTCTTTCAAAGCTACCAGCAGACGAGCAGCATCTACAGAACCCCATAGAAGCATTCGCAAACTTGAGAGATTGATTGGCTTCTTTGGAGAGAGTAAGAGATACTTTCCTTTGCTTAGGACAAGCTTCCCTCTTAGCCTGGCAATGGCGATTTCTTTTGAAAATAATCTTCTGGGTTGCAGCTGAAATGCAAGGTCAGTCATTAAGCGGCCTTCAAATTCGTCTTGCAGACTCGGCACCCGTAGAGTTGAGTTTACAGAATAAAATAAGAAAGAAAATGAGCTGTTATTTTGTGGAGTACAAAGTGGCCTTAAATCTTCGGGGAACTGCAATAGCAAGAAAGTTTGGATCACTAACGAAAGCAGGATTAAAGGTTGAATGAATGAAATAACGTTAGTTAAAAATTATTACCAGAACAAGCTTTGGTTGCAGAATGCTAAGCAGTGGAAAAATTTTATGAGACCTGAAACATATATGTACAAAAATTTAAAAGAGAAATATAGAAATGGAAGCTTTTTGTGTCTACACAAGGAGAAATTATTATGTGTGTACACTGGACGTAAATCTGTGTCCGGAGGTGAATCAAAACGTACCATGTCATCCGATACAAAGCGGATGCACAGCCGCGGTACACAACAAGGAGGTGACATGGTGAGGTTTGATTTGCTTCCGGATGGCGCCCAGTGTCCGCACAAAATAATTAATCCTGTCCGCACAGAATAATTAATCCTACACAAGAGTGGCATCATCGGGTGATTCTAAAAAGAAATTAAATGAAATGGAGAAAAGTTTAAACATATTGATTAAGGTTGTAAATTATCATATGTTAAAAAAGCTAACAATAAGACTGAATTGAGCTAGTATTGGATGAAGATTTTAAAATATAAATTGTGAGATTAATAAGATTAGTGATGTCGGCTGTTAAGTGCTTATCCTCCTCAACTTGGATTAGAAGATGATTTAAAAATTAATTTTGGGAAGAAATGAATAAACTACTACAATGTATCCATGATGAAAGAACAATTATTTGAGAAGAATAATTATTTCGTTTAATTCAAACAAGACGAACTCAAACCAAATTTAATTCATTGAATGTATGCAATATATATCACATATACTTTGGTTTTATGTTTATTTTAATATTTTTTTAAGATTTCATACGAGAACCCTTAATTGATATGTTCGTCTCCACTAAAATTGGATAACCCCAACGCCATATTTAGTTGGTCGTTAGTCTGTGCATGTGTTCTACATGTGTCCCGCTCGAGATCGCATCTCTATTTGAAATCAAGCAAGGCGTACCTCTCTCATCTTCCTTTGTTACCTCATGATGTCAGAGTCTAGCTCTTCCCATACTTATGCTAAAGTAGGGTTGTCATCGTCAACCCCTCTTATATCTAAGGCTTCGTTTGGGACCACTTTCTTACTATTTAAAGCAGCTTTCTAATACAAATGTTAATTTTTAAAAAAAAAAAACTGTTTTAAGAAGCAGCAAGAACGCCAACCCAAACGAACCCTAAGACATTCATATTGCTTTCACCAACATCTTTCCTGGCTTTCGTGGATTTATGCTCTTCATCTTACCTTCACGCCATGCTCAATCACTTCATTGACTCTGGACATCTCTGCAACTACCATTCAGACTTCCTCTTTGGATTCTACTCTTAGTTTGTCATCGATTTTTCAATGGATATCACATCCTCTTTCTCCCACATTAGTAGCTCTTAGAGTTTTGGATGAACCCGAAGTTAGGTTGCAGCCTCCTATCCCAATGGCTCCTTGCTTCACAAAAGATCCTCCTATTTCCATTCCTTTGGCACCAACACCTCCAGCTGCCCACCCTCCTCATTCCTTTGCTAATGTTGTTGGTGGGCAAAATGATTTAAGAGTTCCTTCCTCCAAAAAAAACCCATTTCCCTCTATTTTTTTCATTAAGATCTAGTATCACATCCTTGTAAGCATTCATCAACTTATTTAGACAAGCATGCTCTCATCTTCACTGAAGAGTAGATATTAAAGATTGCTAGGCCTCTGTTTTTATATAGTTGACAAATTCTCATTGGTCACCCCAACCTAGAGATTATGGTTTCGTTTGGGACGGTTTTCTTACTACTTCTTAAAGTAGCTTTTTAGTACAAAAATTTAATTTTTTAACTAAAAAATTGCTTTAAGATGCAGTAAAAAAGTCATCCCAAATGAAGCCTATATTAAATTATATATCTGATCACCATTTTATTGGTGGCAAATATGTTAAGCTCATTGACCCTCATCATATTATCATTAGACTATCTTCAAAAGCATACTACACCAAATATGTTAAGCTCATTGACCCTCATCATATTATATCAATGGCTTTCCATTGTGTATGCTAAAATGGTCAACCCATTTTGATTCTTCTGTCGACCCACCTATCCTTCTAGTCTGGATTAGATTCCCACGACTAAGTTTACATTATTTCAATCAATCAGCTTTATGTTCACTGGGTTCAATATTTGGCAAATTTTGCAAGTAGATATTGCTACCGCTAGTCTTTCAAGGCCTTCTGTGGTGGGAGTAGTAGTAGAACTAGACATTCCTTCCCAGTAAAAAAAGGAGGCATAGATTGACTCCTCAACTAGTGGACTTTGTCAAAAAATTGAATTTGAAAGAACCAGTATGTTACCATTTGTTCCACATATTATTGCAACAACTCACCTCCCTCAATTTGTGAAGACATAAATGATAAAGATGCTCTCCCGCCTTATGATCTAGATGAGAAAACTAAGAGTGTTGACTCTCAGATGGATAGGAGATTTCAAATTCTATTCACTAGATGAGTTAAGAATTAAAAAAATAAACCAATTATCATTCTCCTATTTTCACCAAGTCGAAGTAAGGAGATTCAAATAATTCAATTTCTAGTTTTCATGTTCTTAGGGATTTAGGATCATAGGTTTTCAATGTATCTATATCTTACTGTAATTTTAACATAGAAAGGAGATTTAATTGTTGATCTATTTTAAAATTTTGTAGTCTAAAAAATATTTATTAAATATTCTAATATTCAATAAATTGATATAACAAATTTTTATTAAATACAATATTATATCTTCAAAAATCAAATGTTTTAATTTTAATTATAAATTAAATGATTTCATTTATCAATTTTATGCTTCTAAAGTACATTAGCAGTCTTTTTATCACCATTTGTATTGTAACAAAAATTGGCACCATACAATCACATGGGTTACCAATGTCAACTTCAGTAAGGGCAACATTCTTACTCTAGTTAAGATTTATACCCGATAAAGAGGTATTAAATTCAACATTGCATACCTAAAATGGAAATTGTATGCAGTAGCATGTAAAATAAATTCTTACTGTATTCCGGAAAGAAATGAACACTGGAGAACCTTCATTGACACAGACTTGAATGGTGACAGTGCCATTTCAGCATCTATTCCTTGCTTCATGATTGAAACTTTATTAGAATAAAACTATTCTAAACGAGAAACAATCTCAAAGTGATATTGTCTAAGTTTACTGGACCTTGCATTCACAGAAGAAAAACAAAGTTTAGCAGCGAAAAATACCTCCAGAATAAGTAAACAGCTGGAGATTGCATGCCAACGGCTAAGTAGATGACTGGCAGGGCCCAGCCTAAGAGTCCAATGAAGCGTAAACACTATGCATGGCTCTTGCCATTTCAATCTACAAAAATTCAGTTC